ATGAGTACAGTAATAATAGGTAATGATACTGACTTACTCGAAGCTACTTATGACTACTGATACTGACTTATGACTCAACTTTCTTCTCCAGACATGAATTATTTTTTGTACATTTTCACTGGATGTGATTTAAATTTAAATTAATCAACGCAAACGAAGAAACTCTTAGTTTCAGGGATATTTTCTACGATTCCAACGCAAGTAAAAGAAAATATAATGAGAATTGGTTGTGAGGTGATTGTGGTTCTATACTCTACTGCAGTTGATACAAATCACAACCATACATTTTCTTTAAATGATTTAAGATACTTACAATTCAACAGAAATGTCGGTAAATCATCTTTTAAACTAGAAACTCTGCCACCAACTGAAGGTACGGCCCAACAGCATGTTCTTCCGGTTTACTATCAATTACAAATGTGGTTAGGTAATAAGTTAGCTGCTTGTGCCTAAGGTTGGAGACAAAGTGCCACTGGTTTTGAACCAATTTATACTCTAGATAATTTAATTCCCGAAGACACAGTGAAGCCAGTGAAAGCTATGTAGTTATTCATATTTTGACGAGCTACCCCAGAATAAAAAAAGAGTCTTCCAGCTGCAATGAAAACCGAGATAATGTAAATTTTTCCTATGTGTTTCAATTTGTAGTTCCAATAACGAAAAAAAAAAACGAGCTGAAACAGTTATCCACTCCACTTTCCTATGTCGATCTTTCTAAAGTACCTTGGCTTCGAAGGGCTGTAAGTTTTGAAAAATTGAATGAATTTTATAGCTATAAGTTTCAATATAAAGTTTAGATTTTTATTCAAAATTTGTACAAATTTTACTTCTTAATGTTTATAAACAATGGAGATATGATTTTTTTAAATAGTCGCTAACTTCGTTCCTATTGGTCATAGGTTTTTTTAATGTGAGTTTTTTACAAGTTATCCAATGGTTGTGCGTACAAGTCTGTAGCTTGAAAAATATAGACGTTATTGTTTATAAGTAATAATATTTTATTTTGTTAATAAAAAAATTAATAAAATTTATAAATTAGTGCAAAAAACTGCTTTTCTACAAATATCTCCGTAACTTATTTATCAATTTTAATTGAAAAAACGGAAAAACAAAGATATTTTTGATATAAAAAAAATGATATAAATATTGTTTATTTAAAATATAAGGGAAAAAACTTATAGACAAAAAATCAAATTGGGACCATAAATTATTGTTAAAAAAAAACGCAAGATAAAAATACGAGTACCTTTTCATCTTTTCTTCATCTAGTAACCCCCCCTATGTCTTAAAAGCTTCAGATATCTGCGAAACATTTTTCGACCTTTTTTTTTAACCAGACTGGGCTAATGTTGCATTGTTATAGTATATTCCTTGATCCTCACGTTTTCATCTTGTTTTTACACGAAAGGAAAGAATAGAACTTGATTGTTAATTGTGGTGATCAGGAAAGTGAATTAAAGCCAATACCAAAATATCTGTATTATTAATTTTGTGTAAATAATTTAAAACATGCATATTTAAAAATTAGTGCTTGTGGAAAGAACAGACTGATTTTCTTTAAAGCATAATACCAAGTGAAACAGTATCTGGTCAGTACTTTGAACACAATTTAAAGAAGAAAAAGAGAGAGAAAATATGATGAATATCGAGATGTGATTAAATAAGAAAAATGCTGTTTTTTGTTGTTCATATTATTAAATTTTTAAAAACGAAAATTTTATACTCTCTACATTTCTACATATTTCATTATATGCAATAAGGTTTATTATTTGTTCAGAAATTCAGATCAGACAAATAGGAATATCTTATAAAAATTCATATTAAAGCACAAAAAATCATTTGAACACACATAGACAATTAAACTTTGATCCTTCCAGAAACTTCTTTCACAATTTAGATAGAATAATCTCACCTGGAAATCATGCTTTAAATGGGGAATTATGTCAGTTGTCAGAGTCTCTATGTGCGCCTACACTACATCTACATTAGGTTTAATTTAGCAAATAAACTAACTATACTCAATCTTGAGATCACGAGGTTCGGGCACATGCCAGCCAGAAGCGTCGTCTACTAGATCTACTGCACCTTTGTCCGGGTGCTCGCCTCCTCCACGCTTCACTTTTGGTGTTCCCCGAGGCGGTACAGGGGGAGGCACTTTGCCTTTACTTTCGCTGCTCGATCTTCCCACCAAAACAGCGGGGTAGGCCGACGGTGGAGAAGTTAGTGAAGAGGCTGGGGAAATGGGAGTGCAGGATGATGGGTATGCGGGTGGTGCGGTTTTTGTCGAATTTACTTCGGATTGGGAGGCTGTAGAGGAAAGGATAATTTTTAGAAATATTGTCCAATTATAAAAGCAGCGTGAAAAATAGGAAAAATGGTTGTTTAATTATCTAGTAGTAACTTTGATAAAAACTAATTTTGTGGTCTATTGAAATTAAAATTACCTAAAATATTATGGACCAGAATGGTTAATACTACTTTATGTAATATTGCTAAACTAACAAGGTTTTACGTATTTGGAATCAAACATTATTTAAGTAACACGGGATCAGGTGAATGACATTTAATACACCCAAACTAAGTATTGTTCTTTTGTAGATACGTAAATCCTATCTTATCTTGTAAACCCTTCACTACTCTTCTAAATACAATTTTCCTGTGTTAAATTATATTACTATCGATACTATATTTTTAAATAGCGATGTACGGTAGATACCAAATTATTTTAGATGATTTACGCAGACCTTTTTCTAACAGCATTTTTGTTTTAATGGGATTGTTATCTTAAACAGGTGTCACAAACAGTTATAGATGAAAACAATGTTCATCATTCGCTTAAAATCAATACCGCACATTTTATACTATAAAATACACAAATACTATATTATTGTACTAATTATTTCAATAAAAATAATATCAGTAACTTAGGGTATGACTCAAAATTGTTTCTGGAGTAATAGCAGACAAGTTTCTACAATATCTTTAGAAAAAGTTACAAAAGTTGAGGACAGAGATTGCAAATTAACATGGATATGTGCTGGTTAGCTAGCAAAGATGAAGGAGGAAAGGTGAACACGCAAGTTAAACGAATGGAGAAAAAGAGCAGATAAACGACAAAGAGGAAGATCACCTACACGACTTTAAAAGATGCAAAAGATGACGAAAATTTAAATTCATACTGAACAAGATCCTGCACTTTGGATAAAAACAGAGGAAGCATGTGAAAATGATGATGAAGTTCCTGGATGAAGTAGGAAAGAAAACCAAAGAAGACTTGATCGAGGTATCTTAATTAAAAATATTATTTCTTCTATAACAAAGTCTGATCTTTACTGGTTAAACACATTCTTAACGATTTTTTGCCCCAGGTGGCAAAAGAATATAACTCGATTCTTCTACTGGATTCATTTTGATCGGCATAATATGCTTATTCAACAAAGAAACAAAAATATCAAAATACTTTCCAAATAAAACTTAACGGAATCAGAGAGGAAGATATTGCAGAAGAAGAATGGAGACAATTAAAAACAATAATAACGGAAGCTGCAGAAGAAACTGTCTCAAAAACAAAATGGCAAAGAAATGCGTAATGGTATGATAATGAATGCAGAACTGCAGTAGAGGAAAAAAGGTAAGCTAGGCTTAAACAACTTCAAAGAAATAGCAGAGAAATTTATAACGAAAAGAGAATACAAGCGACTAGAATATACAGAAGAAAAAAAAAGAGGCTTTGAATAAACCAGTACAAGAAATCCTAGAACATAACAACACACACGAGAGCAGAAAATATCTATAAAAGAAAGAAAGAAAGCGCACAGTCATTTAGACCAAAATTGACAATATGTAAGAACAAGGACGGAGAACTACTAACAGAGAAACAAAAAATTATAATGAGATGGAAACAATACTTTGAGGAAAACCTAAAATGCAGACAATGGAAATGATCAAAACGGGATAATATATTTCACGGCGGAGCAGCACATTATGAAGATTAGATAATTACTTCTTCATAACTCCACAATATGGAGTTATGAAGAAGTAGTTCAAATAATAAAGAAACTAAAAAACAGTAAAGCGGCAGGAACGGACGGAGTTTGAGCAGAATTGTTGCAATATGGAGGACCCGAACTCTGGGGAAGAATCCATTAACTGATAAAGTTGGTGTGGACCAAGAAGCAAATGCCGAAGGAATGGGCAGTTGGTCTTATACAACCAATATATAAAAAAGGAGATAAGAGGGAATGCCACAATTACAGACCAATTACATTGCTAAATCACAAATTACAAAATCCTTTCTGGCATTGTCTACACTAGATTGACAGAATACTCCGAAAATATAATTAAAATTACATAGTCCTCTTTGACTCGGTCAGGTATGCAGGTGGGTTGTGGCTAACCTGGTTGGACTGGGACAGATTGCTCTGCTGTCACTCTGAAGGGATGGTTTTGCGGTGTTGCTGAGTGGGATTCGTACAGACCAATGGAAACAGGAGGATCAGTAAACAACTGAGAGCTAAGATGTCCGTAGTTGTCTACTATGTTATCCATTACTTTTCTGTTGGTTATTACATATATTACGTTATATTATTTAACGGTTTGGATGGCCATTGACGGTAATGGACATATGAGCATGTGCAGAGGTTGTCGTTGTCACGTGTAACGTGATGTCCGGAAGAATATTATTGGTGGTGGGTGTATGGATGAGGAAAGGGTCGGATAATAATTGCGTATTGTCGTTTAGGGGTTGTAATCCTCTATGAGAAGATTGGGTATATTGTGTACGAGGATACGAAAAGGTATAACTGTGAGGTGTAGTATTGGTGATTCAACATTGATGTGATTCTTATTGACCAATTTAAAAATCATAACTTATCTCCAAAAATAGCCCATTAATAATATAGCACATATTAAAGTACATAGGAAACAATATTTTAAATTGTTTTAAGTATTGGGTTTTTACAATAATCATTAAAAGCGGCCATCAACACGACACAACTTACCTGTTTTACTTCCACTATGAGGTATAGTATTATTCACCTTCACCTGAACTGTAGCTGCGTATAGCAAATCATAAATTAGAATAGAAAATGCAAGAACCAAAGAGATTTTTATGTAAAAGCGGATCAGCGTATAGTAAAATAATATGATTACTTACTTTCTCGTTCGCTAGCTTCTTCATGTCTTCCTAACGGTCGAGATAACGATTTCCTCTTCGATGGAGAATGTTTCAAAGCTGTAACAAACAATGAAACATATTTAAGTAAAATATAAATGAATTGTAAGAATTAGAACGTTATTGATATTCAAAAAATTATCATTTATGTTTAATTATGAATTTAGATCATTAAAAAATGCTCCGAAATCAATATTAATTATAAAATCTTCAATGTTGACAAAGCATATAAAATTTTTAGATGAAAAGTTTCAGTTTTTATAATTGTTCAAAATAATCAAAATAACTATACAAAGAAATGACTGTTAGGTAATAATCACTAAGGCAAAATAGCCATCGTCATTTCATGACTTGATAATGATTATACTTGACTGTACAACGTAAAAGAATTTAGCTGAACATTGTCACAGGAGAAATAAGACGAAATTTTCCACATGTTAATGATTTGATAAATAATGTCAAAAAAGATTTTATAAAATCGCGATAACGACTTCAATTTTACAATAAACGTCTAGGCAATATTCCATTACTCCCTTTACTTTATTCTATATATCATAAGAAGGGGCACTTGGTTAGAAGCAGTATTTTTTATGCGGAGTATATTCAAGAAATAAAAAGTTTTATGGTACAACTAACTGATTGAATTTCAGCAACTCTGTAGGAATGTAAACGCCTTCGAATGTAAACGTCAGTCGATTTCATTAAAAATTTTAAAGATTTTTTTTCGGATGGTTAGAGAAACCGTAGACATATGTAGGAAATATATATTTTTAAAACTTTTATTACAAATATTTTTATAATTGAATAAAATAATTTAATTATTAATTGATTATTTTTTATAGATTTTAATAAAATTTAAAAAGTTTACATGTTGCATAACGGACCCGCTCTTAGTGTAAATGGACTCTTCCAACTTTTTACTGTGAATGCTAACGACGAAGCGCTATTTCGTTTCGTGACGCTACTTCCATGAACTATTCCACGTTTATTCCTAGAATAGAGTAATCTCGTTATTCCAAGAATAACGAGATTACTACACAATAAACCGGTACACAAACAAATAAGACAATCGGCTGCTTGAAAAAAATTTGATTAATTACAAATTTTATTTCCAGCTGGATATTCGGTGGCTGTGTACTAGTATAAAAGTCCATATATTCAGTAGCATATCTTTATTCAATTTATTTTTTTGCGATGATTTAAGGAGGTTATTTAAATATTCACTTTAACATTTGTTCTCACAAATCCTTCCGTGTTGAACCACGTCGATTATATCTGCGATGAGCTTTCGACATCCTCTCTGATGTCGTCTTCGGGGCTTTCGAGGTCTCAGTCTCCCAAACCTCCAGTCACTACTACACAGATCACTATTCAATGTATTACTGCTACTGGGACCAGCGGACAGTTCATGTACACCGGTTGCCGCGAATATTTCTGACGGCAGGATTTTGATTATGAAAGCAGATGGAGGCTATGGTTCTGGAGTTTTCAAAATCAATTCAAATCTAGGTCAACACCATCTACATACAGGTCATCTGGAGTAACCTGCATGAAGATGGTGTTGACCTAGAGCTGAAATTGAATCGGAATTGTGAATAGAAATGGAATGTTCATAAATCCTATTTTGGATTCTACTATTTGTTTGGCCTATATAAGATCAGGGGCAATCTGCACTAAAAATTTCATAAACTACGTGTTGTTCATGTGGAATGTTGCCTTTCATTGTCAGGAAAAGAGATGAAAGTGTTTTTGTTGGGGTTGGGGGAGGGGGGGGGGTAATATTGTCTTTATTCCTTTTGATCTAAGAATTTTGTCGATTTTGTCAGTGACACCTTTAATGTAAGGAAAAAAGCTTTCGTATGTTGAGTGTCTGAGTCTTTGGGTAGGGATTGAGTGGGAGTTTGGTGCCTGTGGATGCTCATATTAATGTGATATTTGTGGTAACCATTTTGGATGAGCGAAGCATTGATTAGAGGTGATCAGTGTAGTAGTATCTGGGGGCGCGGGTGACTAAGAGCTCGGAAGCTCTGAAGGAGACATCAGAGGGGATATCGAAAGCTCAGCGCAATGATAATCGACGCGATTCAACCCGAAAGCCTGTTGAGTTTGATATTAATTCTTGTTATAATAACCTTATTCATTTTATTTATATTATTAATTACCGCTTAATGAAATTATTTTTATTAGGATATCACGCTTTCTTTGACTCAAAATGTATAGTAAAGAGATGGTTTATAATAGACACTAATGAGGAGACAGTCAAAACTTGTCTCTGTTACCATTTTTTGAGTAATTAATAATTATTACTTTTAAAATTTTAACATTAAACAGACGTGCAAACATTTAGGTTTTCAGAAAAAATATATTATAATTATTGTCAGAGGAATGCTGTAAAAACACTACATGCATAACGAACAATACAGCATGCACTTAAAATATGCACAGAGAAAATTAAAAGAGTGCAAGAAATATATTACAACAAATTGTGGACTGACATTGTGGATTACAAGGTTAAAAGTTGCCCCATGCCACTTCGCGGGAATGGGTAAATCACTTGTCAGTCCAAACCTCTCGCCATTGGCTTTTGCGGCTTAAGCGTATTTTCTCCTTTAAATTGCTCCGATTTACGGTGGAATTTGCACCTAAATTGTGTCTGAACACATAAAGAACAAATTCCCGTATCGAATGCAAATTTCACATAAATGTGACTTGGCCGGTTTTGCATCTATACCCATTAAAGCACTCTGTAGCTTGGATGTGTTTAAGACAGATATGTCGTAGTAGCACGATATATCAGTCTTTGTATTTAAATTGGTTTAAAATGTATGATGAGTCATACATAGATATATATGAATTCAAAAATATACATGTACGTATAAGCTTACGATCATTCGCAGGTTAACAAAGGTAAAATTGTTTTAATGCTGCTTTAACCGGTTAAAAATTGTTGTAATATTAGAACATCATGGTTACTAAAATACAAATCTGCCTCTAGTTTATATATAAACGAATGTGGAAAATAATTGAAATATAAAATGAAAAAAGTGCATAATATAATATTTTTTTTTATAGAATTCTGCAGAAAAGAGACATGTTAACTCAACTAATAGAAGGAAATGTAAATAAGATTAAGATCGTAAGAAAAGTACGTGCATTATTGTTTTAAGAATTAAAGTTAATCTATATTTTTAATTCCTAAATACATTTTAGTTCTTTCTATTTATTATGCTGGTAACAGTGATACTGAGTTGACGAATTTTAATTATTTTATTCCAGTTCTGTCTACAGCTACTGCAATTCCTAATTCTTCCCTTTCTTCTTTTTCTTCCTCTTCTTTAATGCCCTATTCGAACCGCTCTTCGAAAGAGTTCAGCAGAGGTCATTCCAAACCATTGTCGAAGGTTTTTTAGCCATAGGACGACGTCCCGGCATTTGGCCACATACTTTGCCGTTCAGGTGGTGTCAAAGAATTTGATATCTTTCTTCATTGCACATTATTTGGCCAAAGTACTCAAGCTAACGTTTTTTTCAATAAGTTAAGCAATTCTTTTTCTTCTCTCATGCGCTATAGGACTTCAACGTTGGTAACATGGTCCACAAAGGACTTCTTCAATGTCCTCCTGTAGTTTTGAAGACTTCGATCTTCTTTCCAGTGGCTTGCGTCAGTATCGACGCTTAGATTTCGTGTAATAGCACCAGATGAACGTAGCACATCACTATCCGCCCCTTGGTATCTAAACTCAGGTCACTACAACACATCATAAGGAGCTGAGTAACTGAGGACCGTGCAATTTCGATTATGGACCTAATTTCTTCAACGTGGACCCATTGTGAGTTATGGGTACTTCTGAGGTAGCTAAATCTGTCTACTTTCTCGATATCTTCATTCGCTGCTATTAGCGCCCCGGGATCTACGTTTGTACGACTGATAACCAGGAAAAAGGTTCTCCTAATGGTGAGGTGTAGGCCATACTTTATGTTCGCAGTTCTCACGCGGTTCAGTAGGGTCTTGCAGATCATTATTATCCACAGATAACCGTAATAACATTACGGTTATCAGATAACGGTATTATCAATACGATTACTAGTAACGCAGTGTCGTCGGCGTAGAGGAGATTGTTAATGTATTCTTCCTTAGTTCGAATTTACATCTCTACATTGCCATAAATAGTGCAGATACTCGCGAAAGATCGATGGTGAGCGACAAGAGCTTATTATGCTCGCCTTTAGTAATGTTTGCAGCAGTTGCAGACGAAAAGTCAAAAACAAATAATTTCAGACCATGGTCTGCAAACTTTACAGTGTTAAATAATGTTTTAGTATAATTTCAATCATTCTTCTTCAAGTGCCCTGTCCGTTGCGAACGTTGCGTTGGCAACTTGTTCAAGTGCCCTGGACAATCAATTGCAGAGTGTCAGATTGCCTTTTTCAAGACAATATTAAATCGTTTAATTAACTTTGTACCGACTGAGCTGAAGATGCTTTGCAAATTGTAGAAAGCGAAACCGGTTGTCTAGGTAGTTAAATTAAACTGATTGTGAGTAAGTCTTATTTATTTCTTTTTTACCTATTTACAATTATTAATGTCAAAGAAGTTTTCTCCTTCAATTTTAACGCGTAAGCTTACGTTTTACATTGTTAGTTGGGTCAATTTAACTAACTATAATATAATTCAGTTCATTTCACATTGCCAGAGGTTGCTTTGAAGTCTACGAAGAGATGATGTTTATCTATGTTATATTTTAGTGACTTTTGATGTGTAGTTGACTTTACAGTAGTAAATCCGCATTGATATTGGCAAACAATACCCTTTTTAAAACTTTTAAGTCTTTCAAACAATACATTGCCGAAGATCTGATACGCCGATGCTAACAGAGTCAGGCCTCTATAGTTCTGACACTCCAGTTGATCACCCTCTTTATCCAAGGGACACATTCTCTTTAGCTACTCTTCTGGTACCAATTCATTCTGCCATATAAGTACTATTAGTTTATGAATTGCTGCAAAAAGTCGATCACCACCTTTTTTGTACATTTCCGAACAGATTTCATCGATTCCTT